TTCATTTAAAATAATTCTAAACAATGTAACAATGTAAACAGTAACTGCTGAAGATTAATAAACAATGAACCTGTACATAGAAAAATCCACCTCATTTCCAAAATGGGGCTAGCTGTCCAAGAAATGACTCCGTAAGCTCAAAAAAGGGAAAGAATTCCACACATAAAGCAGAAAATATGTGGAAAACATGAAGATATTTACAGTATACAATTTTTTTTCCTTACAGGTTGGAAGTCAGAAGCCATGTTAGAAAATGAGATACCTACAGCAGACAACAGCATTTTGTCAATATGTAAAGGCAGTCCTTGATGAAGTTATGCGACTTCAGGTACTCTGGGCTTTATTCCAAATCGTACTTTGAACTTCCCTCACTACCAAGAAGAAGTGACAAACCTTTGTACCTTATTGCTCCACATCAAACACATAGGCAATTCTTCTTCTTTTTAATTTATTTTTAATTTATTCACAGAAAAAGCTAGACTTTCTTACCTACTATTTAGATATCTTGACACAATAAAGCCCCATTTTGTAGACAAGCTGCTGAAATGTAAGCAGAATATAGACTATCACTGAATTAAAGAATTATAAAGCCTTTAAACTTTGTCCTTCTCCACCAGTTTTTGGCTAATAAAGTTCTGTTTACTGTACTGGTTAATACAAATCAGCAGCTGGCAAAGCCTGTAGTGCAGTTTTGAGAGGTGAAGGTGGGTTGAGTAGTGACCAGCTCTTCTTCTGCCAGGCTTCCCTACCTGAGTGTTAAAAGGCACAGCTAAGTTTTCTTCCAGTCTCTTCCCAAGGTGAAAAAGGAAAGTGGCTTGGTATGAGAGGCAGAAGAGGCATGCAAACTGTAGTATTTTAAAGGGTTCATAAAATTATCCCGCATATGTGTAGAAACAGGCAGTGAAAAGGAATGATGCCTTGTGATTGCCTTACAAGTGTACATATCCTTGAGATCTGCAGCAGTGGAAAGGAGATAGATTGGACAAATGAGCTGCAACTGTTTTGCCAGTTCCTGTCTTTCATGACTAATCCTGTTTTGTGCTTTTGGTTCTGAACCACTGTCTGGAATCTACATGACAACAGCATCTTTTGACGTTGTCTGTGTCCTTTCTTTCCTCTCTCTCCAGCTCCTGGTCTTTCTCACTAAACAGTTCTCTACAATATCAGACATACGTTAACTTCTAAGTTTTGCATCAAATAACCTGACACTGATGGAAATGTGTGTTCCCTTTCTAGGCCTGCTTATGAGAAAACCCAGCAAAACATGCTGTGTATTTATATCTGAGAACATGGCTTCTGTCCAACAACATGTCAAGTTTGTCAAAATTGTCTGACTGAAGCCCTTTATTCTCAGTGGTGAAATGATTTGCCTGAAGGGGAAACAGAGCATTAATAAATTGAATGAATTGTACATTGTTCATGACAGACTCTAATGGTACAGTCTTCTGTGTACTGTACACTCCAGATACTACCTCAGGTCCTAATGATTAATATTCATCAGTATAAAAACGTAAGAATCAACTTGGGATTGGTAGCATAAATCAGACATTCTGAGTATGCCTCACTGAAAGCATTTCCCAGGCTAGATGATATGCCATGTACATGTCTTAAAACATGGCAGTATATCATGTTTACATTGTCAATGAATCATCAGTCTCACAACATGGCAAAACTGGCAATTCAGCCCTTAAATACTGATGTCATAATGTCAAGATTAATATGCACTCAGAAATGCAGAGAAAACCATACTTGTTCCCTTTATGGCCCTAATTGCCTTGACAAAGGATCTGAAAATATGGATATTGCCTTATTAAGTCCTATAAAATTTATTTAACTTATTGAGAAAAAACATAGTAAATTGCTCATTCTAAGTGATTCTTACATCTTTATGAAGTAACTAGAACCTGAAAGTCTTTCTCAAATTTTGTTGGTCCAAATGGCAAAGGTAAGGGGAAAAAACCCCACCTTCCATAATTTACTGTATCATGGATTTATTACAATATCAAAAACATAACTACAAAAATCAAAGATTTCAAACTGCACAGAAGTGTGAGGAAACATTGGTAGAGGGTTGGCTTCCTCAGTATACTGCTTCAAGTTGATTTTTTCTATAATTTTCTATTGTGGAAATTCAAATGTATACTAAAATGTTTCATGCACGCTTATTTAAAGTAACAGAAATGCCTGCATTTGAAGAGAAAGTCCTACTCTAGGCATAGTGTTACAGATGATCCTTGTTCAGTCTTATTGGTTTTAACTGCCAAGCACTCGCAAGTACAGACAGAAAAAGGGACTGTGTTTGATTTCCTAAGCCAGAAACTGGTACAAATGTAAGGTTTTTACCTTATCATTCAGTAATGGAAAAAAAATAAAAAACAACAAAACAATATAGCAAAACCCAACAAAAGAACAAAAAGAACCAACGCCCATCCTTCAGCTGAAACCCCAAAGCCCACAGACACCAAACATTTACCCACAAGGAAGTCTCCACAAATACTGTCAAAGTCCCTTACAAACAGCAGTGTTTGTAAGATTCACCTCTGGAACTCAATCAGATTATATTTGTTTTCCAGGACCATTGCTAGTGTACACTTCAGAGGGGTCAGTGGCATATTCTGTTTATTCAAATACTGCCTCCATATTCATTCACTTCCTCATCTGTGTGTTCCAGTTCACCAAGAAACTAAGCTCCCTGGGGAACCTTTGTTCTCTCTCAAACGAAAAAAAAATTTAGTCTTCAGCAATTCCAAAGGAATATTCTGAATTGTAATTCATTTCAGAGCAAAAAGTATCATGATAATATTTTCATAACATTTTGGTGGTATCTTTCTCTTATGCTTTGGCATAAAAGGTCATCAACAAATCACAGTCTTCCTCTTACAAACAAATTCACCATTCAGCTTTCTTGAGTTGCTGGAGTAACTGAAGCTACAGTATGACAAGTGGGATGATAAGGCTGTAATCTTTAGGCTTATGTCAATTTAAAAAAAAAAAAATTCTGAAAGCCTTTCTCAACTCTACCTTTCCTGATGATTGTGTTCTGAAGGGCAATCTGTTCTATGCCAAGATTAAACAAGTGGTAGCTTCCTATAGAGCCCTGTGACTCATTCTGAAAATCTCTGTGCTGATATCAGCATGTTGAATACCAGAAAGAAAGTGACCCAGCAATGACTCTGGGTAGCTTCATGGACTGAAGCAAATATTTACATTAATCCAGACAACGGGGAGGTGGGGTGGCAAAATGAAAGCCATATTTGTCCTAAGAATTATGTCACTGTTCCAAACACAGCTTCTCTGTGCAAAAAGCGAGGAGCATTTTAATTACCCTTCTCCTCCCCCCCCATCAAAATATTTTTAGTATTACTTGACTGTGCTAACTGTGTGATAGCCAGTTGTCAGGAACAAAGGGCACTGTATTCCTGAAAGAAAGAGATGGTCTTCTGAGCAACCAAAATTCTCAGAGACGCACAAAAGGAGAATAGGTTGTCCCTAATTTGATCATTTGTGATGTCAACTGGCCAGTAAATAACTGTGCTTAAATAATTGGATTGCAAAATACATAAATATTGGGATAATTCTCTTACATTCACAGAAAAAGACTGCCTTTTAGAAAAAAATGGCTCTTAAAAAACCAATAGGGGAAAAATAAAAATCTTTTTATATTTGTGTACTTCTTTAATAAAACTGTAGCACTTTTTCTTCAAACATTTGAATAGTCCACAGGAAATTAGCATGTCTTAGAGCTAAAACAAGCAATCTGGGAAGACTACCAAATGCTAGGTAGATAATTTTTTTTCCCTTGGTTTAACAAACACTTTTAGGTAGAGTTCAGTAAACTCAAAATGCAGAGGAAGCATTGATATTTGTTTTCTATATATAAAACATTTAGACTGCCTTCTGCAGCAGGTCAGATCTGTCCTCAACATACTGAAATCCCTTATCCTTTTGATGCACTCAGGACTGGGTGCATTGATAACTGCTCTGTTATTGTCTCTCTTCCTTCCTTTCCTAGAAAAAAGTCTTTAGTTTGCCTTTTTTTTTTTTTTTTGGTGGTTTGTTTTGTTTTTCTCTAAAAAGGCAGCACAATCACTTCATTACAAATGCAACTTTATGCTGTATTGCTTAATTCTGATTTTCCAGATAAGCCATATGCTATTGTTTAGACATTCATCCGGTAAGATGATGGGAACACTTCTGACAGCAAAACTTGAACAAAGAATTAACCAAGTAATTTTACACGAATAATCTCACATATAGTATTTATTGTTCTCTTTCTATAGTGTTGGTTCTTGGAAATTAACTTGGAATGCAAAAAAACAAATATTTAAAAGTCAAAAAAGAGGTTTTCTTACTTCAAAATGAAATAGTAGCACCAGTCATATTGCCAACAATAAATAGTTTACAACTAAAATTTTTAAAGCTTAAAACCTATTTTTAATTCAGTATTCCAGTGCATTCTCTTAATGCTCTAACAACTTTAAATAGTTCTGACAAAATCTCACATAATGCCATCTGAAAAACTACTTTTTGGTTTTTTTAGTGATATAGTATAGATTGAAGACAAACACTGTCTCCAACTACATTAAAGAGAAACACAGTATACTACAAGACAGACCTAACATAAAAAGATGTTTAATTTTATTTTGTACTTTGTTCTTTGAGTTCATCATTCTTAAATCAAAATTTATTGTGTTCTTACATTAAAGTTTTCCTTCACAAAATCAAAGCAGTATCCTTTCTAAACTAAAAAGATTCC